AAAGGTTCGGCCTTCGCCGCCTACCGGTCAAGCTCCGCTTCGGCGCGGCGCCAGGCGCCCGCCGTCCGGGGGCGGCGAGAGCGGGCGGATTCCGCCGAGGAGCTCCGAGGCAGGCTGCCACGCCCCGAAAGCAGAACGCCCAGCTACCGAAGTAGGCACGAGCGGCGGTCTCTCGGGCCGACGGGAAGCCGTTGCCGCCGTCCGCAAGGCAGAGGGTGAGCCACTCCTTCTGCTCGTTGCTCAAGGGCCCAGTCAGCTCAGCGTAGGCCCCAAAGAGCAAGTCGCCGAGCTCCCCCACCCAGGCGGTCTCGTAGCTCGCGCGCAGCAGGTGGGCGCAGCAGCCCTGGGCGCAAGTGCGGAGCAGCGCGTGGGCCCCGTCCGTCGGAAGTCAGCGCTGGCGCAGCGTTCTCCAGCGGGCCAGGAATTGTCGCGTCTTGTCCAGGACCTCTCGGCCATCGGAAAGGGGCCAGGAGGGGCAGCCTGGCGCCGTCGCCCTCCTCGTCGCGGTCGCACCACGCGACCGGGTTCCCCAGGACGGCCAGGGTGGCGGCCCGGACCGGCGCGAGCTGGGGGGGGATCGCAGTGGCCGGGCTGGCGGTCCACACCTTGGTCTTGTTCGCGCTAAGCTCAAGGGCGGCCCAGGCCATCTCCTCCCGCGCAACGTCGCGGGCCTGAGCGGCGGCCTCCGCCGGCACGACCACGAGCACGTCGCCCAGGTAGGAGAACAGGCGGGAGGCAGGGCTCAGCTGTTGCAGGCGGTCGCGAGCGCGGGCCAGGGCGTCGGCGATTCCGAAGGCGGGGCTGAGCGGACAGCCCTGATCGCTGTCTGGGCCGACGCGGGCACGGGGGCGCCGCGGTTGTTCCAGAGGAAGTGCGTCGTCGGCCTCGTCAGCCAGGCGCTGGCGACAGGGAAGAGGCTCGGCGCCAAGCGGCCCACTGCGTCAAGAACCGCTTGCCGGGGCAAGGCGTTGAAAGCGCTAGCAGCGCCAAGGGCCAGGACAGCGGCCCCCAGCATCGCTTCGGCCAAAGTGGCGACGCACTTGAGGACCCGCTCGCAGCCCGCCCTCGCGCCGACCTCGAACTGGCGGGGGCCGCGCGCATCTTTCAGCTCCTCCTTGAGGACCTCGCAAGCCGCCTTCGCCGTCAGCCTGCGGAGGACGCCCCCGCGCGCCACCGGCCGCAGCTCCCCGTCATTCTTCCGCAGCGCGGCCAGTCGGGCCCCCAAGTTGGCCGCAGCGGGGTCAGGGGGGCGGGGGGGGGGGGGGGGCAGGCCACAGCCGCCCGGCAGTTCGCCTCGAGCGCGGCGGAGTCGGCAAGGAGCGTCTTCCAGCGCTCGAAGCGGGAGCCGTTGGGGCCCGGGCCAGACCTCCGCCGGGCTTGCTCGACGGCCCTGCGCACCGCGTGCAAGAGCTTTTCCGCGGTCTCGTCGTCGGGAAGCTGCGCTGCGGCTGGCTTGGCCCCCGCGCCCTGGGGGGAGAGATTCCAGAGCTCGCCGCGGGCGCTGACGTCGGTGACCACCGCGGCCGAGCTCTCGGAGAGGAACGCCCCCACGTTCTTCGCGGTGTCCTGCGGTCGCCAAGTGCGCCGCCGACCCGCTGCAGCAGCTCCGGCAGCAGCGGCAGCGGCCGCCTCGCGCCACAGAGCCCCCCAGTCTCCGCGCCAAGCTATGCGGATCCGTCGCGCGAGGATTTTGGAAAGCCCCCCGCCGTTCTCACTGCTCCGCCCCCCACGGACCCGGGTCGGTGCGAAGAGGATGACCCTGTCAAAGAATGTCAGCAGCTTGCCCGCCCTGCCGGCTGCGGCGGGACCCCCGGCCCGCCTGGCGCCGAGGAGAGCGGCCGCGGCGGCCCCCTCTGAGCACGGCGAGGGAGTGCGCGAGAGGACCCGGGGACGAACCGACGGCGCGAACGTCCACCCCCAGGTCGTTGCAGGACGCCCCGCCCCACCAGTCCAAATGGAGGAGCGTCCGCGCCGGGGCCCCGTCGGCGTCGAGGCCAGGCGGCCGAGCCTCGTCTTCGGTTTCGTCGTCGTCTCGCGGTGCTCTGCGGCCCGGCGTCTGCGCCTGGTCGGCTGCGCGGCGGCGCAGGCGCCCAGCGCGCGAGTCGGCGAGATGCCCCGCCCGCGTGGGGCGCCCTGGTCCGTCGCAGGACTGGCGCAGTTCCGCCTGGGCCTCCGGCGGAAGGGAGGCGCTGCCCTGAACCCAGTCACAGGGGCCGAGCCCGCCCTCCACGCAACTCGGGCAGAGGTAATTCCTGCGGGCCAGGCTGCGGGACGCACGGTACACCCGCAGGTCGCTTTTGGGGAAAGGCCCGCGGCAGGCCCTGGCCTGGCACGCGCAAGAACGACGGCGCGGCAGAACGTCAACTGCCCACTCGGACTCTTCTGCTTGACCCGGGGCTGGCGCCGGAGGCTGCGCTGCGAGAGGGCCCGCCGGGGTTGCAACCGGGGCAGGAAAGCCGGTGGCGGGGCGGCCGGGCCTGCTGGATGGGCTGGCGCTGCC